TTTTAATGTTATTCTAGTCCTTTGACCTCACAGAACTATTTTTATCTATGTTATAGATATTTTATCTATGTTATAATAATAACATATGTTATTAATATAATAATGTTATAGATAAAATATTAAAAATATTATCACATTTCAAGTCCATGTGACCATCTGACCTCTTGTGATCATATTATTATGTAATTAGTTATATAATTCTCTTACCTCATAAAGGATTCCTGTCAACCAAAATATATTTATTATCCTTTAAAAAAGTTGTTCCGGTGTCCCTTACTCCTCTTTACATGATTATGCATTTATCTCAATTATTTTCCTTTTGCTTGAAGATGTCCCATTGGTGTGGCTTTAAGTGTTAATCTATTTGCAATATATTCTCTCAGTTTTTATTTTTCTAAGTTTATATTTGTCTTCATTTTGTTTAGCACTCATAGTTGTATTTTCATGATATATACTTAGGAATTTTTTGAACTTTAAGGACATGGCCCATTGTCTTCTGACTATTTCTCTCTTCAGAAGTCAGCTGTCATTCCTATAGGAAATAATGTTCATCCCATCGACCACTACCCTGTAGCTATTCTTAGGATTTTCCTGTTTCTTGAATCTTTGTTTATTTTGCTGTGAATACCTAGGGATGGTTTGGCTTGTATTCATCTTGCTTGGGGTTTGTAGAAATTCTCAGTTTTCTGATTTGATGTCTCTCATGACTTTTAGAAAATTCATAACCAGTATGCCTTCAAATATTGATTCTGGGGCTAGGGATATAGCTAAGCAGCACAGCGCCTGCCTGGCAAGCATGAGGTCATGAGTTTGATTCCTGGTTCCCCCTCCCAAATATATTGATTCTGTCCAATTTCTTTCTCCTTCTCCTTTGAAATTTCAATTCCATACTTGTGAAAGACCTTTTCACCATGTCATACGCATTTTATACTCTTTTCATTTCTGTTTTTTTTCTTTTAGATCTTCAATCTGGTTCCTTTCTACTGACCTAGCTGCCTTCTGAGTATTCTTTTCAGTTCTGTTGAGTTCTTCTGGTTAATTTACAGTTTCAGAACTTCCTTCCTAATAGATTCTAGTTTTATGGTAAAATTTAGCACCTCCTATTTTTCTGAACATATTACTCATAGTTATTCTAAAGCTGTGTCAGCTAATTCTAGGACCTGGATAAGCAATGAGTCAGTTTTCTTGGATTTCAGCCATTTGGTGGTATTTCCTGCCATGCTTGGAATCTCTGGACTGGATAATGGAGACCTATGTGAAAAGCCACAGGCCTATTTTGCACTCACAGACTAGACATATAGAACCCTGGCAGATTGTCTTGATCTTCTCAGTGGAATTGAACTCATGACCTTGTGCTTGCCAGGCGGGCACTGTGCCACTGAGCTATATCCCTAGTTGAAAGCATGTAGTCTTAACAAAACCTGTTGCAATGACCAGGGCCATTCTTTTTTGTCTGCTTAGCATGGAGATACTCCCACAATCTGTACTTACTTTTATTATTCAGTACTTTTTAAAGCTATTTGTTTGCTTGTGTGAGGGTATTTTAATGTTAATTTTTAACTTGGGTCTTAGATTCCTGCTATTTATATGTACATGTCTGACATAATCATATTTCTCGAGGAGAAACTGTGACCAGAATATTGGGTTCATTTCTTTCTGGTTCCATTTTCCAGGATATTGGTATATTGACTGATTGATATTGTTGTATTGGTTTAGTCCTTGATGCTGAGGACCGAACCCAGGCCATCATGCATCCTAGATATTGTAACAGCACTCCTATTCTTTTTTACTGTCAATTTCTGAACTCTAATTTTTATCTAGAACTCTAATTTCTTTCAGAGAAGTCAAAGCAACTTCTCTGTTGTAGGATACCACTCTCGGCTTGGTTTCTACATAAAACAGCAGGTGCTTCAAGGTTCCCCAACGCCGGCCCTTTGAGCTCTGGCTGCTTAGTTACTGTCAAATGCTTTTTAAAAACTTATTTTTAAAATTCATCTTTTATAGATTTTTCTTAGCATAAAGATTTGTCCAGTATAAGTTACTCTTTTGTTACATGAAATAGAAATTTATCTCATTTAACTTTCACAGTATCCCTATGAATTCAGTGTTGTCACTTTTACTTTACTTTTGAAGTTAGCACATTGCTAGCCTTTGGGATTAGATTTTGAAATGTAAATCTCCGCTGGCCACTGACTAAAATGTAAGGTGACCATTTCTCTCCTCTGAGTCAAACTGAAAAATAAAGTGGCTGGGCTGGGATTTAGCTCAGCAGCAGAAGCACCTGCCTTGCAAATTCGCAGTTGTGAGTTTTATCCCTGGTACCAGAAAGAAAAAAAAAAAAAAAAGAAAAGTAAAGTGGAAAAAATCCTGAAGGATCAGATAATTCTATTTTCACTTAAACTATTTTGGAATATAGTAAAAGGAAAACTTGCAAATTTGTTCTATAAAGCTAGTATCATTTAAAATTCCTGGCTCTGGAAAAAAAGATACACCCATCTCATGTATTACTATAAATACAAAAATTACAACCAATCAATGTGCTCATAGTTTGAATCATAGCAAAAAGGCCCCTGAAGAACATTTTTAAAAAGTGTGTCATCACCAAGAAAAGCTTACTTGAGAAATAGAGAGATAGCAGAATACTGTGAAGTCTACTCTCCAAATCATCTTATTAATAGAGCTAAGGAGAAAAAAATCATATGATCATCTCCATAAATGCAGAAAAGTGCTTGGTAAAATTCAACACATATGTATTTTATGTTATTTCTCTTTCAACAAATATGTATTGAGCATCTGCTCTATTAAAGAACGGAGGGTGCAGGAGGGAAAAAGATACACTTCAGGGGAGAGAAGCAGTCAGTACATAAGTGAGTAAGAGAGAAAGCAGCTTTTAGCTGGAAGGCACACTTTTTAAAAACAGTACAATGTCTATTGATCTCATTAATATAATAAATATATCTTAGGCCAAAAGACTTCATTTTATTTAGTAGAGAAATGCTATGGGTTTTCTTTTTAAAGCCAGAAACAAGATAAAAATGTCCACCGTGTCTGCAATATTTAACATTAGCTTGAAGAATTAGTTAGAGCAGCCAGACAAAAAGAAAGCACCGAAGTATAGGAACCGGAAAGAGACTATTGCTACTTGTAGATTATAGTGTACAAACAGGGGTCCCAGAAGAATGGAGGGGCTGGGGACGTGGGCCACGGCACAGGGCCTGCCTGACAAACACGAGGCCCTGAGTTGGCTCTCCAGTATGCCCCCCAAAATAACAAAAACAAAAACAAAACAAATGAAAGAATCAATGGAAAAACTCTAACAAACAATAAGAAATGTAGTCACATGGCTGGTTATAACATCACCCTAAAACATCAGCTGCCATCATATGCACAAATAAAAATCGGTTAGGAGAGCTAATGAACAAGATCACGCTATGATGATAAAAAGGCATCTCCCGAATATACACAAGGGAAGAAGAGAAAGAGGCATAGAAATTATTAGGAATGTCATTTTGTTAGAGAAAGTGATGCAACATTCCAAAGATGTCAGCTTTTCCTATTTAGAGTATAGATAGAGTTTATGTTGCCACACTAAAATTCTGGTGAGTTTTGTTCCTGGAGGTATAAAAGCTATCCCTTGCTTCACAAATTCTTCATGGAGTTGTCCTAGGAATGGGGGTTTCAGGCGAGGAGCGCTTGGGAAGAGCTGAGTGGGCTTCATACCTGATGCCTTTCATGGCTTCCGTATCTCCACGCCGTCTCCCCGATCTCTGACCCGGAGAGGCCTCCTGGGGTCCAGCGTTCTGGAGGCTCATTTGGTGCCCGTGCTTCAGCCTGTGACATGGGACTTCCATTGTTTCCACTCAGGCTTCTGCCCATTAGATTATTGGCTGGCAGAGTGTAGCCAGCTGGACACACTTTTCAGGTCCTCCTCAGTATGGCCTCCCTCCTGGCCGTAAGAGGATGTAGACAAGAATGCTGAGCTGTGAGAGACAAGGTTACTCGCTTTAAAAGCTCTACGCTCAGTGATTTTTGTTGTGGTGAGGCACACATGAGCATGGACTTTCAGCTTTTTCTCAACCTTGAGCTTTTTATCCTAAACTGGTCATATATGATGAACTGTAATACTTTTTATCTTTAAGAAACTACAATATATGCTTCCAGGCTTCTCACTGGGCTTCCCTGCCTGCTGAGCTGTCCTGCACCGTCTTCCCGCACCCCCTGTTTCTCTGCCTTTCGCTCTCCTGGTGTCTCTTCTCCCCCCGTTCCTATCAGAAAACCTGCCCATTTCCAGTGATGTATTGGAAAGGCCTTTTAAAGATACTTTCTTTACATTTCCAGCTGAAGTACTGGTATTTATCAAGGTAAATCACCTTTGATTTCTCAATGATTTGTATTTCTTCTGTATCTCTCTGTTCCACTATGAATATTAATGCAGAGACTCTGTTTTACCTGAGTAATTTCTGAAACAGTCTGTTTATTGTGCTTCACATAGCTGGCATCGAAAATATGAAACGGAATTAGGAAAATCTGCAGGCTTAGTTTTGTACAGTGGCATGTTTTCCTTTGGAAGCTCTGAGTTGGCTATAATTAGTTGCTAGATGATGATGCCAATGAGCCACACAGAAACAATTAGTGATCTTTGCTATGTCACCAAAAAGGAGTACCTGCTGCTGGCCTGATACTCCTTAGTACCTCCTGCTAGGACCTGGAAGAGTACCTGCAGGTGAGGGAGAGGAGGGCATCAGCATCTTTCTGGATGCTTGAACTGGCCTGTTAAAACTACGTGACAAACAACATAGTTTTCTTCCCTCAGCCCTCAGAGAAGCAAGCTGTTTGCATTTATAGATGTGCGTGTTTGTGAGCTGAGCAGAACCAGCTTTGCCAAGTTTCATGTTCTCACTAGCTTGTTCACCTTTGTGTGACTAGCAAGAGGTGAGGTGTTGCAAGTATCTGTACGTATGAATTATTCTTCAAAAACACACATCTTTCTTTTCTTTCAGGGATCCAGAAGCTTTGAAGTCACAAGAAGAGAAGGTAGGGGACATGCATGCATATCCACTTCTTTCTTGGTGCTGACATTTTGGAAGTAATATGTTGAAATTAAGATGGACTTTGGGCTGCTGACAGCTTTCCTTTGAAAATTCTTTATGCCTTTTCTGGGTGATGAGTGCTTGGCATTTGGCTCTAGAGACTCGAGAATTTCAGGGCTGGTTTTCTTGTCAGAGGTATGGCTTTTGCCTTCAAGTGTCTGGGCTGTGCTCTGGGGAACTAGCTAATTTGTGATCACCTCATGGCCTATGAAGAGCAGTTTTATTTATTTTTTTAAAAAAAGGTTAAGTTTAAGGTAATTATTTGGGTTTACCCAGCAAAAACAACATCAAAAACAAAAATTGTTTACATTTCAATGTATTTCAGTATCTGGAAAGAGATGCCAGTGTGAAAAATACTTTTGATTAGATTTTTACAGCTTCAGCTAAGCTGAAATAGAAATAACCAATTGATTTCCCTTAGAAAACGATTCCATGGTGTTCTCGCTCCTCGGCCAGCACTCCTTTAGCATATTCGTGCTCTGGTCTCTGAGGTAAGCGTAGATGGATGATAATTTCAGAAGTCTTTTAATGGAAATTGAAATGTTCCTTATTCACTTTTGGTAATACCTAGTCTGTAATAAGAGGATATCTTTTCTGTGATTTGTACAATCATTGAAAATGATCTCCTTGTTGCAAAGATGGGAGGAAAGTCAGAAATCAAAGTAAAGTTTGGATCCAGAGTATGGTTTTGGTTTTAGCCTTAATCTCTCCTTTCTCTTTGAACTGATTCTCTTTGGTATTGATTCCAGTAAAGAGGGATGGAGTTAAAAAAAAAAAAAAGGTAAATTCCATATTGGCTCCTAAACCTAACATATTCTTGGTGTCTAGCCAGTTTCTATGTTATTCAATACAATGAAAGACCTCTGAAGGCCAGCATGTGTTTCTGACAGTCCTGTACATATCCTTGAAGTACTGCACCATCTATATTGGGTGCCGCTGGTTGTGCTGTCCGTGGTGCTGAAACTCTACACAGATGGTAGCTGAGTAATCTAACTCCGGCGGAACCTTCTAGCTGCCATCTGTTTGCCGTTGTCTGTGGTTTTGGGCATAGTGTCCTTGGAGCTGTACCCACAGGGAAAACTGCATTGTTTGCATATCTGTACAAATGAAACTAAATAAAGTAAGAGGGCGCTGGTAAGGATTTTTAAAAATTGAAAGTTGTGTTCACCATTGTCAGTGACCATATAATTTGGAGAGAAACAGCCATAATGGAAAGAGAAGTTGCTATGAACTTTGGTTTTCAACATCATGTTATTTATGTTAATACTTCTGAGTGTAAATGTTTGGAATTAATTTCCATTAAGGAATCACATATAAGTTTAATCTTTTTGAAATGTTACTGTTCTTGTGCTCTCTAACAAGGCTGGGTTTTATGGGAAAACCATGTATATTTCCATCCAAGTTCTGCTTGAGCTTATGGTCTCAATTCTCCAGAGAATGAGGGTGTCCTGAGGAGGGGCAGAAGCTCGGTCAGGTTGAGCTGTCCTTACCCACAATTTCCCCTCTCTAGAAGCATCCACTTCCACCATCAGTTGACTGGGAACACATGCTTTGGGTTTGTACTAACAAATGTGCCCTGACATCACATAAATTTTTCTCTTGTGATTGTGAACCGATGTCTTTCTTGTTTCTATCAAAGTTGCATGTTTAAGAGTTCCTGAAATAGCTCAGTGTTTTGATGTCAGTGCTTATAACTAGGCAGACAGGCAGGCAAGAAGGGAAGGAGGGAAGGACGGAGGAGGGAAGCAGAGAGACAGGGAGAAATCTTATTGATTCCAAGTATGTTTGGGTCTGAGAATTTACTGACCGGGGTCGTGAGCTTGCAAATCTCTGAACAGTATAAAGCATAAATGTAACCAAGAGCCTTAGTAGTTCAGGAAATTATTATCCTAGCAAACAAAAGTAGCAACACACACTTCAGGTTGAGTTCTTGTTCCAACTTGACCTGGAGCTGAAAGAGGGAGTTGTGTCCAGTTCGTCAGGTCCCCGAGGGCCCCCAGAGGTCTGGAAGCCTTTGGATCATGGAGGCAGCCTCCTGACCGTAGACCCTGACCGTAGAGGGTTTCTCATCCAGGCTTGCTTCGCTTTGCTACTACATCTGACTCAGACCTATCAGTCCCATCATCGTCAGCATGGATGGTGCATTGTGACTTCCAGTGTAGGACTTTTGGGGACTCTTGACAATCGATTGGCGAGAAGTGAGAGGTGCTAATGTTGGCCTTAGAAGCGCAGTCCAGGCTCAGCCACAGTGGGTGTTGGGGGGACCAGGGTGAAGTGAGTGGCTTGTGTGGACCTTGTTTCCCTGTCCTCCTTCCCATCCTCTGCCCTGCGGTCCCTGCTCCCGACTGTAGCTGGGCTTTCTCTGTTCTGACTCTGCTCATGCTGCTCCTGCCACTTTCATGCTTTGTCCTGCATCTCAAATTCACTTCTCTTTTATTCTTTCCAACTATTTTACTGGAAGTGCTTAGCTTACCCTGCTAGCCTGAAAGGTACATGCTCCTGACTGGTTATTCACTTCCGGAAAGCAGGACCCATGCACCCCTTCATCCCCGCACCCCTCTCAGCACTTAGCCCAGAGCCAGTAGCTACCGATGCTATTTCTTGAATTTAGCACATGTTACCCATTTTCTTGGTGTGTGTTGTCTTTTTTACTCTTGTCCTGTCTTGGTGATACACAAGCAAGGCATTCAGACCCTTGGCTCTCAAAAGCTACTTTTAAAGGCCTGCTTTGTAAGCATCCATCAGATACTGGCTGGTGCATTTCACTCTCAGATAAGCCAGGGGTTGCAGGTTGAATGGTGCTCTCAGAAGGGTAAGTTCAAGTTCTAACCTGGAGCTTGTGAACATGACCTTATTTGAAAACAGGGTTTTAGCAGATGTAATCAGGCTAAGATAAAGTGCGTGACTTTAAGGTGGGCTCTAACCCAGAGAGTAGAGTCCTTAGAAGGGGAGAGAACTTGCCCAGAGGAGAATGGCATGTGACTTGACCATGGAGGCTGTGGGCTGCTGGTGGCCACCAGAAGCCAGCAAGAAGCAAGGAAGAACCATCCCTTAGAATAGAGTGAGAGGGAGGGAAGGAGGAGGGAAGGGGAGAGGAGAAGAGAAGGAGATGAGTGGATGAGAGGGAAGCTGAAGGTGAGAATGAGCTGAGTGGCCATGTCAGGCCCCTGAGTTTAGATTTCTAGGTTCCAGAACTTTGAGAAAACAAGTTTTCTGCTGTTTTAAGCCAACTAGTAAGGAGAACTTTATTACAGCAGCCCCAGGACACTAATACACTTAGAAAATGTTGGACTCAATAAAGTGGAGTTAGTTTTTGTTGTTGCTGTTGATGTTTTTACTGCAGAACCTCTCAGGGTTTTTCATATGTTAAATATGGCTCTCCACAGCCGGTGTAATATGCAGCGTTTCCCAAACTGACTTTCCCACGGGGTTAAACTAAATTAACTTGGTTGGTTTTGATGCTGAGGGTAGGCGTTCCTTGGTGTGCCCTTTGCAAACCCAGCTCTAGGAAGCCCAGAGGGTAACAGTATCCTTCACGTGTGCAGGCACCAGGGACTGTCCTTTAGGGAATGCATCTGCCTACGATGTGAGGTGATTACAGGGATAACAACTTCCTGGTGACATGAAGCTTCCAGAGTTTTTTTGTCCTGTATTGCCCCGACTGTCAGTAACCCATGACACAAGCAGAACAGGTGGTACCTGCCACACGACACTTCTTTCCTCCTTCCCATGTTAACTTTAAGCAGACACAAGGACTCTCTGCACCGATACTGTGGTGCATTGGAGTGCTGTCCAGTGGGCGGCCATGATTTAAGAGAGCGGCTCTTCCATGCTCACATCTACCTGTCTGTGAATAACGCTGGCTGCCAAGCCTGCAGAGCTGAGAGGAGCCCTTGGAAGAGAAGTTCCTGGATCCAAGTTCGACTTGTGGTAAAGACTGTCTCAGGGAATGCTGAGGGAGACACAGTGGTACAGGCCAAGGCTGGATTGCAAGACCTCCAGGCTCTCTCCTGGCAAAGGCCTGTGTCCTCCTCAGGGAGATGGGGCCATTGCTCCTGCAGGACAGTCGTGTGTTAAACCTGATCCCTGCGCCTGTGCCAGCCGAGTGGGGAAGGAGGTATGGCTGCGTCTTTGTCTGCTTTCCAGGGCAGGTATTTTTATCCCTCTCTCCAGACACTCAAAGTTTAATTTCAACCTTTTCTGGTTCAGCAAGTGGTGCCAACCTTTCCTGTCCAGCACACTCCCGTGTCCACTCTGAGGACCAGTGCTGATTGTGACGGCCGGAATTCATCTACTCAGCACCCGTCCTTCCCTCTGACTGACCCCATCACGTTGAATTATAGCCAGGAGAGCACACTTGAATGAGCTGAGTGAGTGGCTGGGATGATTCAGCCCTCGTCGGTCCTCTCGTAGGAGCAGAGAGTGATGCGTAAGCTATTGCTGATGTCTGTGATTGTGCTGTGATTAGGGACTGCGAGTTTGGGGATGGGCACCAGTGTCACACTGTATTATTTACCCGCCCCAGTGATGGCTCGCTCATTCTGTTCCAGCCTGGTCTGGCTTCCAGCAAAGCTGGGAAGCATACTGGGAGAGGAGGAGTTGTCCTGCTGTCTCCAGGGAAAAGCAAGGAAGGAAGGGACAGTCTCTCACACACACACACACACACACACACACACACACACAGCCTGAAAGATGGTTGTTTGGCTGCTTAGCAATGCAGATCAACAGAGCAGACATGACCTGCCAGCCCAGAATGGGAAGCTACTTTCTGAAGATCCTTGCATTTCGTTCCTAATTGGCAGTGTCTTCTTATAGCCCCTTTAATGGTTCTCTGCATCTGGATGAACTTGAGCTATCAAGAATTGCATTCTGCTTGCCATTAATTCTGATTTTGTTTAGCAGATGTTTTCTGGATCTCTCGGTTGCCTGCATAATCGATCTTGG